TGCTGGCGGCTGTGCGGAGAAGGTGGACGTGGGCTCAAGTAGCAGGTGCTAAAAGCCGAGCCTGGGGGCCAAAGCTCTCCATTTGTGTTTTTTCCATTCTTCTAACTGTGCCCGCTGCAGCTGTTTCTTCGGTTTTACAAGCTTAGCTCAGAAAAGTTTTACAGTCAAAGCATTGAAATGTTGCTCTTCCTGAGCCCTTGAGTTAAGGATATTCTTGTGGTTTGAGGCACAATTCGGGGGACAAGTACTGTGAGGGGAGGGATGGTCTGGTGATTTAAGTACCAGCCTTTCTCGATTTCATGAGTCAGATGCTTGAAGGCCTTGTGCGTTTCCAGATGTTGCTTTTTTCTTAAATCCTTTTCACTACCTTGGTCTCACGGGCCTTTTTTGAGCTTCTGGTTAGCCGTGCCGTGTTAACTGACCTCAGGGAAACAGAGGTCTTGTTCTGGGGTGGAAAGTAGTAGATGTTGAGCTGGACTTGCTACTGTTATGTACAGCTCGTGTATATTTATAGAGCTATTTGTATTTATAAAGCTAAAGCAGGCTAGTAGAGGCTTTCTCGTCTTTGTCTTCTTCCTAACGTGGCCTCCAGTTTGTGTTTGTCTAAATCCTTAAAATCCCCAATTTTGGGGGAATCGCAATTGCTGTTGCTTCAGATTTTAATTACAATCCGCGTATTTAACTTGAGCCGTTCCTTGGCTCAAGTGAACTTAGCAGTTCTTATCCTAACCTTGATGGACAAGAAAAGCAGAGGTTTACCAGCTTCTAGCAGCTGTTTGTAAATCTGGAGAGTACCGTATCTTTTTGTCCATTCCTGGTCCCTCTTTATTTTCCAGACTAAGCAAATCCAACCTGTCCAACCTTTACTTGCTGAGTTGAGCTCTCTCTATCCGCAGGTGAACCCTCTGGGTGGTCCGCTTAAGTGAGCGCATCCAGCTCGCAGGAGCCAAGTAAACCCAGGTCCGTACATTGTGTTTTGCCTGTTCCTGACTCTCAGTCTGCCTTTACCATAGGCTGCTCCGTCTTAGCAGCCCGTATTGCTCCTAGGTGCCGGAGGAGGGTCAAGGTATGTACCCCACAGGCCTTATTTCTCATTCCCAGGGCATTTCTGCTGTTCCCATCTTAACGGGCCCCTTCGGCTGACCTTGGAGTTCCAGCTTAAGCCATGGCATTAAATCAGCTCTTTTTTAGCAGCCATTTCATTCCTCCATCGGCAGCTATTTCAAACAGAGGACCCTTACAGCATGGGCAAGTTATGCACCTCCAGACTAACGTCCAGAACTTCGTAGCCCTTGCATTCTGTCTCTTTGCATTGGGCATTATCAAAGCATTTGAACGTCTGAGCCCAGGAGGTCATTTTCTATCTATTTCTGGTCTCAGCTGAAGTGTAAGGAGATGGTTCAGTGATGGGTTCGTTTTTCTTTCTTTCTTATTAAGGCTATTTCTTCATGAAATAGCAGAATGGAAATAGTAACTCATCAGCCATCCAATAAAAAAAAAAAAGATAGGTCTATTTGTGTTTCTTGCTGGATTTATTTCTACCTGGGAGAAGGCGTGTATGTGCTTTCGATGTGGCACATGGATCTCAAATGCTTAGTCCTTTAATAGTACGAAAAATCATCTGTGATCTGCTGGCGAAGGTCAGCTTTGGACCAGCACATATTTGGAGTTCCTGTGTGAGAAGTGTGAGCTGTTAATCCTGATCCTGGTGCAGCAAGTCTGCCTGATGGAAAGGTCAATTTGCCATAGAAATCTGGGTCTTATTCAGGTAGGATTTTCCAATAAAGCTTGGTGTGACCCTGCCTGAGTTGCAACTACAGTTGTGAGAGCTGAGGAGTTACTTTGCCCCCCACCATTTCATAACTGTTGCTCGTGCGTGCGCCTGTGTGTGGTGTGCAAATGCAGCGTGCAGCCCCCAAAGTGGGTGTCGGCAGCGACTTTAACAGGTGCAGGTTGAGAGTAGGGAGGAAAAGGCAGGTCACTCTGTTTTGACATTTTCTTTCAGAGTATCTGAGAGCATCGGCTGCTCTCCCAGGGAGGATGCTGAGCCAGATGGACCAGTCTTGACAGTTCCTCTCCTCCTAGTGCTTTTGGGATGGTTCCCCACGCTGATAGACGGGCAAAAGGGAACCCAGAGCACAGTAACTTTAGCCTTCCTTCCATTTGCACCCAGCTTTGTTTTCTCTTCTTTCTTGTCCCCTTTCCTGTCGAGTTTCTTCTTTTTTTTTTGTATGCCCTGTGGTTTTGGGTGCCTCTTCCCCCTTTCCTAGCAGTGAGTATCCTGCTGTCAGAGCACCATGCGATGGGGCAAGTCGGCCTCTTCTCAGGAGCTTGCGTGGAGCTGTAGCAGGCGTCAGCGCAGGTGGGGCAAAACCGACGGAGCCGGTCTCAGTCTCAGATCCTGCCCTTTGCTTCCCAAAGTGGAAGGCAGTGAGCTGCCAGACTAAGCAAAAAAAAAATATCCATCAACGGTGTTTTGCAACTGTGGGAACTAAGACCTGTAACCACTTGCATAATCGCAACGCGTGCTCATGTGATTGGATTTATAGGTCTTACTTCTAGGCCTCGTTGCCTAGTTCTGGTGGCTTTATGGAAATAAATGAACTAGAAATGGTAGGTTGTTTGTACGGGGCCGTCCAGCGTTCGTCAGTTCTCGGTCCGCTCTTGAGCTGTCTGGAAACATGTGCTTTCTTCTCTAAGTTCAGCTTTCACTCTGCCCACTATTTGCTTGATTTTTTTTACTATTTTAGGAACATTCCTAAGAAAAAGAAAGCTTGTTCTTCGCTTTCTGCAACCTTTTAAAGGATGGTTAAGTAACTGTTGCTGAGGTGATTTTCAAGTCAACATTCAGTCTGATCTCCCTAGATGCAGGGTTGTACTGTTTGCAGCTCTGTCCCCAAGTCTCTGAACTTCTGTTGCTCGTCAAATGTTTTCTCAATTAGGAAAGCAGGTTGTATAAGAAAACATGTTAATGAAAAACCATGTTAATGAAAGCTCCTTCCCCTAGAGGAGCCGCAGTTTAACACTTTAATTTGGTTGGGGATGGCTGGAGGGTTTAACATGATCCAGGGTGTTAAACTCTACTGATGGCTGGAGATAAAAACCCTTTTAAGCCATTGTATTTCAAACAAGGCCTTTTCCCGGGCAAGACTCTGCTGTGACATTTTGTCCTCTAAGACAGGTAGAAGCTACGCTTTGGATCTCTGGCACTACCTTGTAGCAACATCAGTACTTGGGGTCCCTGGCGAGGCTGAGCATAAAGGCTGTGTCTCCCCATTTCCAGTGCTGTTACTGGGATCACCGGGTGCATTGCCCACGCTCCAGTAAGACCTTGCCCTGAGACATTACAGGCCTTACTGCTGCACCAAGGCTTGTTTTCAGGTTTTTTTAACGGTCTTTGCTTTTGCAGCTGGCATTTCCTAGGTGTGCATCCTTAAAGACCTGCAGCTAGGCACCTCGTTTCGTGCTGAAGAAGGGAGCATCATGTTGCAGCCTTGGCCCCGATGATGGCTACCTGCCGTTCCTTTGCCCCTCGTTACCTTTAGGTGTTGCTATTCCCGACTCTCTGCTCGTGTTGTCCCAGTTGTGTGGGGAAAGACGCCCTTGGCCCGAATGCCTCGCCTGAGAAGAATGCAGACAGTCTGGCAGAGCGCAGGTTAAATAAAGTTTGCCTTGGCAGGGCCCATGCTCTTGGATGTACTATGAGCTGCCGGGGCGTAGTGGTGACGGAATTGCAAGCACGAACACCAGCTGCCAAGAGGAACGGGTCTCCTGGCCCTGCCTGCGGACTCCTCTCCTCTGGGACTCTTGAAGTACTGGCAAAATCGCAAGCCTTCTCCCTACCCCAACCCTGGCCCGACGCTCCCATCTTTTCTCCAGAGCTTCCCGCTGATGAGGACGGCGGCAGCAGGCCGTCGCCGTCGGTGCTGCGCCGCCGCGTCCTGGTCTTGCTAAATTGATGGGGACCCTCCTGTTGGCCTCCGTGCCGTCAGGGATTCGCCCGCTAGCCTCTCCTTGTTCTGGGGGAAAAGACTTCAGGCAGTGGCGAGTTTTGACTGGCAGCTGTGGCTTTTGCTATTACACGGGGAAGTGATTTCACGTCTGGGAAAGAGGGTCCGCATGATTGATTTAGAAACTTTCCCTGGCCAGCACTTGGGTGGTGTGGACACATCTCCCCCGTGCAGGCTGCAAACACCTCCGAGCCCTTATGTGGAGCGGCATTCCCGTGGCCTCGGGATTTGCAGGTTGTTACCGTATAAAGGGCACAGTCTTGGCCCAACAGGAGGGCTGACCAGCAGTGTTGTTGGCAGGTGCCTAACTTTCCTTTTAATAGATGTGCAGCGCGGGGTTTTGGATGGGAGCGGCGATGATTTCATTGCTTGCCACCGGTGGACGGAGCAGAGCTGGACAGCAGGGAAGCAGGGGGGTGAGAGGAGCGCAGAGCAGCAGGATATTCGTGCCTTGCCATCCTGGGACCGTGCGTTTTGGTCTCCAGGCGAGACACCCTTGACTCTTTTGGTAGCGGAGGGACTGATGAGAGGAGCACTGGTTACCAGAACATGCTCAAGTCCTTCCAGTCAGTCACAGGGTTTGTTTTAGAGCTAAAACATCAGTTTTGGTGGTTCTTCCAGCTCTGTCTCGGCTTGTGCATGGACATAAGTTAGGAGGTTATGGCCAGTCATATCCCTTAGCTGTGCACCCTTTAGGGGCCGGTTACTCATTTGGTTTCCTGCGGGCAGCAGGGCAATGGAGCTTTTCCCCTGTGACTTCACATACGTGTTTCTGTCTATAAGATGGGGAACATATACCTATTTCTGGTGCATGGGGGAACTCAGCTAATTGATACTTGTGAAAATGCCTAAGGTATAGACTTGGAAACTGTATGTTAACTTGCCCAGCAAGTTGATCTTCCCCTCCAAGGCTTCTGATTGGCAGAAAGCTCCTGAGTTAGAACCAAGCCTGGCTTTTCCCGACCTTTGTCTCTCTCCCTGTGCCTGCAGGTGGCTGGAAGTCCAGGTGGTTAACCTGACCTGCACCCAGCGTTGGGTCCAGTACCTCCAGTTGCTGCAGGAATCCATCTGGCCTGGAGGAGTTTTACCAGCAGTGCCTAAACCAGCCAGGACAGAGGAACAGAAGAAAGCAGCAGCAGAGCAGGCCCTGCAGAGCCTGATGGGGATCTTGCCTAGTAAGTGTGCCCCAGAGATGTGTCAGCTGCCCTTGAGAAAAGGAGCAGTGGGGGAGGCTGGGGAACCCTCCAGTGCATTGGCGTCTCTGGAAATGTGGTTAAACACAGAGATGGAGCCTGCTCGTGCCAAGGCACTGGGAAACGTTTGTGACCTTTGAGGTTTGAATGGTTTCCTGCAAGCAAAAACCACAGTTTCCTAGTTCTAGATAGTTTGCAAAAGCATTTGGGAAGCAGCACAGCTCAGAGAGAAAGGACGCCTGTCTTGGTGATTCCCAGATGCAGACTGGCCACATACTCTGTGCTTAGTGCTGGTGGTGCAGTTCCCGCTGAGCCACCTCAAACAAGGTATGGCTCAGGAAAGCCAGTGCCACGCTGTGCTCCCACCTGCTGCCAAAGGGTACCATTGCTGTGAAGAGTCACAAGGCAAAGCCTTTGGCTTCTTGCTCTAAAGAGTGGCTTTTCCACTGGACTGAAATCATGAGCCCAGCTGCACTGGATTTCCCTCTCTTGAAGTTTGACACGGGGACCTTTGACATTAAAGCAGCTGCTGCCTAATCCGTGTGAGTGCAGTCTGAACTTTTAACTCCTTGCTGCAGAGTCAGGGGCCCTTACTATCCTTTGGGGATGAAAAAGCGCTACCGGTATATGCCCTTCCAGGCTGGAACGCTTTCCCAGCATTTGGTCCTGTCCCTGGCTCTTTTCTTTCGTGGTAATGTTGGGCATGAGATGCCTCAGGCTCAGAGCACCATCACAAACTTCAATTTAGTACCCACCAGCAGAAGACTGGCCCTGTTTTACTACCATGGAAATGTGCAGTTCCTAAAGCTTTGTCTCTTGACGTTGACAGATGTGATCCAAGAAATCCTTGGAACCAGTAAATGTCGGATGAGCTGGAACCTGGTACTGGAGTCCCTGGGCCAGCCTGTGATCAACAGGTACGTCGATTATAGTCTCTTTGCCCTGATAGCCTTTGCGATGGGGCCTGTAAGCTACGCTCAGGGCTTCACCGTGAGATTCATGCTGCCAGCTTCTTGGCACAGAACATATCTGGCTAATTTTCCTTGACTTATACTATCAAAGGGCATCTGGCTTGCTTATTATGAAGGTGCATGTCTAGGACCTCGGTCTGGCTGGAGGTTATTGAGCCGGTCTTGTTAATTACGTTGCTGGGCCTGCTTAGTTTGTGGATGTCAGGAGACTGTCAGAGGAAAAAAGACCAAATCCTGGTTTAGTTTGTTGTTTTTAGAAGAGCTTAGGGAGCTGCATATACATGTAGATAGTGTTTTTCTGTATACACATCGCTGTGCATTTGGAAAGCAATGTTTTTGTGATGAACTGCAGAGAAATGCATGTGCCACCTCACTCCAGGAGATGCATTTGTGTTTTCTGTGCTGCTCAGCAGCTTGAAACACCCACTGGTTTGGGGGGTGGAAAAAAACCTGAACCATCCCTTAGAACATTTCTTCTAGGATATGAGATCTTTTTGCCTTTCCCCTGATGGCAGTCAGAATACTTCTTCCTTGTGTGAGCTTTGGCTTCTGCGTGTCTGGAGCTGATCTCCCAGCTCCGCTGTGCCCTGACCAGCCTAAGCTTTGTCTTCTCTCCATTTCAGGCACCTGGTTTTCTGCCTCTTGGATATTCTGCTGGAGTTCTTGGTTCTGAAGGGCTCCAGCGATGAGCTCGAGACCGCAGCTGTCGCGCCGTCTGCCTCTAGTGGCCTGGACAAAGCAGGCATTTCAGCACATTAACCAGGGCTGGTGTAGCCAGCAGTGGAGGAGAGAAGCAGCCGCAGGCATGGGATGATTTGATTTTCAGTGTTTACTGAACATGTCTGGGAGCTTCTTGTAAAGATTTTTTCCAGCCAGTGCTAAATGAGGCTGCTTTCCAGGCTTCTCTGTTTTGGCTGGGTGATGGATTAAACCCAGTGTCAGGGGCTGAAGATGCTTTTCTGCCATGTAGCGTCTGTTCCATTGCTGACCTGATGGAGGGCCTGGAATGAAGATGCCCGACCTCTGCTGAGCTGGACAGTCTGAGAAGGATATGCAGGCTGCCCACAAGCCCTGTTGTCTTGCCCCACGTTTCTGAACATCTCTAACATCTAAAGGCAGCCAGCACACAAGATTTGCTTTTGTGGCCTCGGGCTCCACCTGACACTGGCATGCAGAGACTTGATGTGACAGTATCTTGTTGATAGATGTTTCTCCAGGACAGGTGAAGGGAGGACCAAATGCTGTCCCTGCTCTCTAAGCAGCCTGCCCTCTGCCTACGCCGCACCATCCATTTTACCAGAAGGAAGACGGGGAGAGAATGGAGCGCGGAGATGTGGTGATAGCCCTGAAGTCAGCGTCAGGGACCCATCCCCACTGCCCAAATAACTGGGAGGTCGAAAGCAGTGCAGAAATCAAAGCTGCTGTCCTGTCTTAGGGACAAAGATAAGCTGCCTCCTGCTGCCACTGCTCTGACATGGTCTTGTTCTGGCATCTTTTGCTGCCTCAACAGTAGGATGCAAGTAGGGTAGACTGTGGTCCTGGAAAAGAGAACTGTCCCCAGGCTAAAGAGGAATGGTAGCTCGGCTGGACTTCAGGATTACCTTGTATTTTGCCTGCTGAGTCACGTTTTAGTCCCAGAGGCTGTCACCTGGAAGGCACAGGAGAAAAGGAGCTGACTCATGTGTGGCACACAGCAAGTAAATCAGCTCCCACACAGAAGTGCTTGTCACGGTAAGCTCTGGAAGAGGAGCGAGCACCTCTGAGCCCAGGAGGAATACCGAACGCATGTCATGGACAGACAGCGGGTTAGACCACAGCAATGGGCTTGAGAGCACCACCTTTGCTCTGTTGTTGCTTGCTATGTCACCGTGCTTTGGTTCACTATGCCTGCTATTGCAACAGCTGCGTGCAGAGGGCTCTAGAAAGCTTGTCATGTCACGATGTCCAGTGCCACCCAGCACAGATGGCATGTCGATTTGGCAGCTGCTTTTCCGGGTCATCCAAGACTTGAGTGGTTTTGCAAGCTTACGTTGCCCAGCTGTCAGGTTTGTGACAGGGCAGATGGACATGGAGAATATGGACACGGAGAATATGCACAAACAGACCGGTTTGGTGACCTGTTTTGGTGAATTCCCTGGGAGAAATACAAACTGACCAGCGCTGGACTTTGCTGATGAAGGGAATACTGCTCCTGGCGTTCTCCAAGATTTAATCTTTATCTAAGATTAAAGTGCTTAGGAGAGGAGACCTCGCAAGAGGGAAGCGTGCAGGATCACAGCTAGTTTCCATGTTACAGTACCAAATGGTGCATTTCGTGTAGCCTGCTGTTTCTTGGAGCTGGATACTCTGTGGCATGTTTGGAGAGAAGGTCATGTAACTCCAACATGCACACTACTGGAAGCATATTCTGCTCTTTCCAGAGGCAGCTGCTTAATAATGGACACACGGCGGTGTGTGCTTCTTTGTGTTTCTGGGGGGTGTGTGTGTGTTGTGTGAAAACACAGGGAAGGATTAGCTTGCTGCCAGCAAGTATATTTTTAGGGAGCTCCAAGGACATCCCAAGACTAGGCAGAATCCAATGTAATGAAGCAAAGGAGTTTTGCATCGCCTATCAGAGCCATCTCTCAGCAGTGACACTTTTGAGATGGTAGCCTTGCCACCTGCTTGGAAAAGAAGGGAGCATGTACGCTAAGTAGCTTAAGAGTAGATTAGGCAAAGCTTTGGAGAATGCTCCATATGGGATAATCCCAAATGGCCAAGCAGCAGGTTGGGGAGCAGGACTCCCATATATCCCCAAGCACAATATCTGCTTGGAGCAGCCGCTTCGCCCTCTCCTTCACTGCCTGGCTCCTGTTTCCCTTCTTTCTCCTACTACTTCCATTTACTACATCAGCTGTCTTGAGGAGTGGGAGAAGGCAGTAGGAGAAGGAGCCATCACCCAGGGATGATGTATCATAGCCCTGTTGTGCTTGGTGGCTTCCCAGATGCTCTTGGTGTGCTTGCTTGCTATTGCTTCCCCATTGATTTTAGGGGTTTGGAGCTCCAAGACTGTAATCTGTCATTCATCAGGGATATCATTAAGAAACTGTTTGCTGAAAAGGATCATTCAGAGATGGACTGCAAACTACGCACCGCCAGCTCCACGTGAGGGCAAAGGTCTAGCACAGGCGTTACAGACACTGGATGTGGCGTTGGAAGGACGAGCTTACACTTCCCCTTTGCTGGGAAGCCCTAGCATCCCTGCCTTTAACCCTGACCTCTGATATTATGGGAATGACTCAATATTCATTTTGCCTGATGGAAATAACTTGCCATTTCCGCTGGCGGGCTCCAAGGAGCATAGCTTGAGAGCCGGCGCTTCGCTGGGATGGTGCGACAATGATTTGCCGTCGTACCAGACAACTGCTTGGTCTGTGCATCCTCTGCACCTTTCACGCAGGGGCCTCGAAGCCTGCACTTTGCAGACTTGCTCATGTGGTGAAGGAGCAACATCCCCTCCGTGTTTACATGGGAGGAGCTGGGGCAGAGAGATGAAGTAGGTTTACTTGCATGCGCTCTTAAGTCAGCGGCAGAGTCAGGAAGAGACCCCAGGAGTCTGGATTGCGAGGTCTTTGTTTTAATCTCCAGAATCCCCTTTCTTTTCTTAGAGCGAGGAAAACAGAAACCAGGGTTGCCGGAGCCCTTTCTCATGCTCTTACTGGCTAGGCTTCAAACTCCCATTCTCTCCTTCATAGATCTTAGTCCATTCTCACAGCCGAGGTGAAGCTGCCCAGGAACAGCGTAGGAACAAGTAGCCCCTCTCTGTATCTTGTTGTTAAGGAATACAAAATCCAAAACAAAGTTCAGCTTTTTTCTAATGCCAGTTCTTTGCCTTACTGTAATTTTTGGATTAAATTGAGCACGATGGTAGCAAAGGCAAACTGACGCATTCAGGTGGGCTGAAAGTTTATTTCCATTGGACTAAGACTGCTTTAGTAAAACAAACAGGGCCAACAAAAAAACTTTAACTCGGTCTGTGTGTGTAGTACTCCCAGCAAGCTCCCTTTTTCTGCAGGAATTTGTATAGAAGGCTTCAGCCACCCCTTACTGAAGGGAAGGTGGTGAGAGCAGGCAGATTTGATCTCGAAAAAAAGTTGCAGGCTTCTGTCATCTTAGGTACAGAGCAGCACGTGGTTCAGGTGGGTGCTCGGCTTTCTAGGTCCTACTGGACATATGCGATCTGCTTCCAGCCCACCGCTTGCTGACTATGTGGCATTGAGGAAAGCACTTCATTTCCCCCGCCTCAGTTTCCCCCAGCGCTGGCTAGTTAGACTGCAAGCTCCCTGGAAGCAGGGGCTGCTTCTGTGCATGTACAACATGGAGCACAGCGGTACAGAGCTTCAAAGCAGCACCGTAAGCTAAACAGTAGTTTTTGTGTTGAGGCAGAGCTGCTTCTTAGGTTATGTTTTCAGGAAAAACGAGTGCCACCACCGTGTAGTGACTCCCTGTCATATTTTCTGTGTTCAGATCCCTGTATTGGCTTTCTGTGGGTGCAGCTGTTCAAGTCTGTGTAGAAGAGCGCTGTCTTGAAAACCTATTTTGTTGTTAAATGGGGAGCAAACCGGTGCTCCCAAGTGCTTGTGACTTATGTTCTGACTCTGTGTACAATAATACTCGGTTTCAGACTTGTTTCTGCGTTTGGGTTTAAAATTCGCCAAGAAACTGCCTGTAAGACAGCCCTTGGGAAGGGAAGAGCAAATAGGGGAGAGGCAAGAAAGCCCAGGTGGGAGTCGGAAGGGGGGGAGCAGGCGTCTCCCCGAGTGTCCCGAAACGCCTGGCTGGGGCAGCAGGGCTGGTGGCAACGGGTCTGGGACAGCAGTTTGCCCTCCTGGCACGCGGTGGCATTAGTGGGACCGCTCAGATGTGGGACAGACCAAAGTCTTTAGCAGCTTGGTCAGAAATGGGAACAGTTTTCCCATCTCTGGGGGCATCAGCATTGCTGCTTTCTCCCTGACAAGCAGACTTCTTGATTTAGGCTTTCCAGGGAATGTGAAACCAGAGAAGCAATGTGGAGATCTTTGGCCTTTCTCCTGGAAGAAAGTGAAAGACACCCAGAGAAGCAGGGGTTGTGCAGACCCATCTCCACATCCCTTGGCACTGCTGCTTAGGAAGTTCACCTTGATATCGGTCCTGGAGGAGGAAAGCTGGTAAGCTATAAGGAAATAGAGAATGTCTGAAAATGAGAAATTCCACGTGAAATTTGAAATATTATGTCGAAGGAAAAAAAATAGAGGGAGAAAGAAAAACCTGATACAATGAATGCTTGAGTCATGTATTATTCTGGATTAGCTCTGCCACGGAAAGATCCCATACACCCTATGAAATCCATTACCTACAAGCCAGTGAACATTTGTACAGCACATGATGTGGGGATCATAGCTGAAGCCAAGTTCCCCTGTATAATATCCACCCCAGGGTAGATTGGTCCATTTCCAGTGTCAACAGCCAGAGGATTAAGCATTTGTCTCTGCAGAACAGTGGATAATTAATACCAGATCGAACTAGGGGCTACGCTCGAGAGAGCTTGCTTGTGACTATATTTGTGACTGAGTGTGGCTTTATTGCCTGCGGGCGAGTTATGGGGAGTGGGATAATGTCTCCTCTGTTCAGCAAGGTGCAGGCATTGCCTCGCTGATGCGTGCCTTGTAGCAGAGCATCGGTAGCTACAGGGCTGTGCGCTGGGATGGCATCGGGCTTCCCAAATGAAGCTGAGGGTGAGCTTTCCCATCGTGGCCGCAGGCGGTAGGCATTAGGGGTGAAAACCTACCGGGAGACCTTTCCTTCCAGCCGAACGCTGGAAGAGTAGAATTGGGATGCTGTGATTTGCCATCTTCTGGATTTAAATGTAAAATCCAGGTTTTGGCACTTCTGGCTTTCTTGAAATAAATTAATACCATTCTCCTGGCCACGGTCCAGTTCAGGTAATTATATTCTTCCTACCTTAATGCCACTCCAGCCCCCTGTCTCCGCTGGATATGCTATGCTCTAATTCCTGTCTGGAACTTGCTTATTATGTTACAAAGTCTTTTTATTTTTTTTCCCTCTGAGTACAACTTGTGCACAGAGCACTAGCCAGCCCCCAGCCCTTTTGCTGAGCTGCTAGAATAGTCGAGAGGACCTGCCTTAGACATTTGACTGTGCCTGGTGTCGTCCTGGAGCATCTCTCCCGACTTGTGAGCCTGCTGAGCTGGGAAGGTGGACAACATGAAAGATGGGAGCAAATGTTGCAGTCCTGTTTAACACGGTGCACTGCTAGAAACCCACTTCTCTCTTCTCAGAGTTCCTTAGGCTGGTGCGTGTGTTAATGGGAGGAAGCTCACGACCTCTGGGCTTACCTTCCCGTGTTGCCATTTCTTGAAAGACTTTTGAAGACTAAAGTACATCCTTACTCCCAGGTGGGGGGAGAGTCCTCTTGTCTTCCAGGAGAATATTGGCAGTGTCCTAATGTAAATATGTCCAAACCTCCCTGCTAATCTAGTGGAGCAGTCCTGCCTTGGTTTGAGGTTAGCATCCAGCCCTAAGAAACCCTGTTTCCTGCAGTACATGAGCGATGTTAAAAGCTGGCTTTGAGTACCTGGTTTCCTTCTTGGAGCGCAGCTTGCTTGTCCGTGTTGGTGGCTTGCTGGCCCTTACGTCTCCTGCAATTGATGCATTGGGTTGTTTTTTCCCCTTTGAAAAGCGTTTAAAGTCGCCTTCTTTCCTTACCCTTTCAATTACGCTCTCTCTTCATCTCCTGGCCTCGCTGAGCGGCTGAAAAGGTTGCTCAAGCAGTACTTGAGGAGAGCGTCCTGCAATTCAGCGTACTTCCTTCCTGTTCCCAGGCCCCTTCCCTCTTCCACGGCCCTCGATGACAAGGGGGGTTTGAGGGACGTGCTGGAGGAGGGACAGCAGGGGTGAGGATCAAAGACCATAAACCACTGTTTAAAAAATATAATGCCCACCGCTTCTCTCGAGGGTCGCATCTGGCAGAGCCTCATTAACCTTCTGTTTCCCCCTCCTACTCCTTTGCCCCTGAAAATCAACAAAGCCAAACATAACAAGTTGCCTTGATTGAAGAAGGCTGAAGTGTGTGTGCTTAGTGTGAAAAAGCAAAAGTAAAGCCATCGGCTAAAGCCCCTTTTCCATGCAGGCCACTTCACATTTATTACGCTAGAAGATGGAGCTCTTTAAATCCCGATGCTCTTTATAGTTGAGCTCTTTAACTTTCTCCCTTCCTCCCCTTGCAGCCTTCATTCTCCCCTTGTTCTGCTCCTTCCGCTCCGTTCCTTTCTTTTTTGTCCTGTGAGAACGAGTCTTTTAATCCCCTTGTACTGCAGATTAAAGCTATTATAGCCTCCCCAACCTGACATTTTCTCAGAGAGGCTCACAGCCAGATCTTTATGAGTGCTCTCTGTCTGTCTGCTGCTGCCTTTCTTCTCGGCACACTAAACCTCGGTTCCTGACCTTTCCCTGAAGAGGGAAGGGCTGTAGCGTGCAATCCCATGTAGGCAGAGGCTGGTCTCAGCGGGGCTTGGGGTGCAGGAAATTAAGACCCATGGAAATTAACAAGTAAATAAGGAGAGAAAGAAAAGATGATGGGAATTTAAGAGACAGAACCAAAGCAAAATTCAGCGTGTTTGGAAACCAAATGCAGGGCTTGGGTCTGAGTTTTGCAAATGGTCCTGTCGTTACGAGGAGCACGTGAACCTGGGACTCCTTTTTAGTAGCAGTTTGGGGTTACCTGAAACCTAAGCTACAGTCCAACTCCGCACTTTGCATTTGGCCCAAGAATAATGGATCCAGGCACCTAGAAGTACACAGGTAGATGTCGAGTTTGTGAGCTTTCAGGGACAGGAGTGACTTCTGGTACTACAGGGCTCTGTCCGCGACAGGGGATTTCTTAGTATTTGTCATCAAATGATTGTACCTCACCTCTGAGACTGCAGAGTGGGTCGATGTGCTGGTCCTTGTCTTGTACACATCATAAAAACACAAAGGATCAGGGTAGCTTGCCTAAAAGTGCGTGTGCTAATGGCAGAAACATCTTTCCTACAGAGTTTTCTGGCTCTCGTCATCAGTCCTGCCACTGCGAGGTGTCCTCCAAATGTCCCAGGGTTTTTGGCGGAGCACCAAGGAAGGTGAAAAACTGGCCTCAAGATACATTCCCCAAAGGAATGTGGTAAAATTACCCCAAGCAGGCCCCCTTTCAGGTTTGTGTACAATACACAAGTATGCGTTAGTGAATAGGAGGGGTGTCTGTTGCTACACGCTCTGAGCAGGGAGGAGGCAATTTGGTTTCCTCTTCTTTTGGGCCTCCAGCATGAACTTGGCCCGGCTGTTCCGAGCCATTGTTTCCCCCAGCTGTAAAATAGGGTTGATAACCTGACCCAGAGCTGTGTAGGCGTCCTAACACTGCAAAGCTCTGGGTTGCTGTGCTAAACCATTCAGCTTGAACTGAAGAAAATCACGCAATACCTATGGCAAGTGAGTACAAAAGGTCAAGTTTCGGTCCTGCAAGGCTTTACTTGCATCCATTTATACGTGGGTTATGTTTTACCTTCCTTGTAAAAGGACAAACAGAGAATTTGCTTATCTTTATAAGCACCTTGAGAGCACAGACTTCATAAGTCATGCGTGGGATTAGAAGGTGTTTGAAGAGTTGATTCAACGCCTCCAGATTTTGCTAAAATAGGTGGTGGCCGCATATAAGAAGATTTCCCATACTTACTGGCTGCAGCGGCGCTGCGATGACAAGCCAACTCATGGCATTTGTGCTCTCCCATCGCGCGCCTGAGCCAACGCGGAGGCTTCTGGGGGCTGCGGCAAAATTGCTTTCAAAGGAAATAATAAAAGAAGTGCAACTGTCCCCTTTTGGGAACTCGTTTCGGGGCAAAAGTTCCCCTGGCAGCCCAGCTTGCCGATAATGAAATCGAAACAGGAGCTCACCCCCGGAGGGGCCGTACGTGTGAAACACTGCCATGTCAAATCCGTATGAATCCTCCGCAAGGAAAGCCCCAGCCCTGTAATTACTGGTTTTCCAGCAAGCAGCCTTTTCTTTCTCTTTGTGTGGGCCCGGTCCCCCCCCTTCTCTCCCCCCATGCGTGCATGATAAGAGGATATTTGTAATGAAAATCACTGGGCAGAAGCGGAGAACAAAAGCGGGAGCACAGCGCGCTCGCCGGTGGGGATATTAGAGGCGCTGGGCTCCCACCTCCGTCCGGTCTGCTCTCTGCTGGGAGAGCGCGGTGGGCACGGCGGGCTGGGGAGGCTCTTATTAACCTTAATCTGCAGAAAGGGGCTGAAGCCACGCCGTGGCCCGGTTTCATAGCTACAGCGGCTCGCTCCCAAGCGTGCAGCCTTATGAAGGGGCAGTCTCCCCAGCAACTCTAATGCGTTTTCGCACCGTACCGTCTAATCTGAGGTAGAAATGTCACCGCCGTCAGACCCCAGGCTGGCAGCTCCCAGCCACGGCTGCGCTGGTAAGCACATATCCAGCTTCAACCTTCTGGTTGCTGGGGTGAAAGGGCCTCTTTATCTCCGCGGGGAGAGGCAGATGAATCCCGGGCTCAAACAAGGGAGCTGCTTTTTTTTTTTTGCTCCCCCCCAACCAGATGCTCCCCCTCCGGTTCAAGGGCTCTTTATTAT